GTGTGTGTGTGTGTGTATGAGCACTGCAGTCGTTAGCAGGGGGTGGGGAGGGATGTTGTGTCGCCGTTCTGTACAGCGGGCATGCAAGATGGCACAGATGGCGGTGGAATGAGACCTGCCCTCACCGCAGATTTACGCTCCTCTCTCGGGTATCTGTCTGTGTCTGTAAGTCCCTCTAATTTCTCATTTGACAGTCTGAGCATATGCATCAGTGTCGTTGTGGCAAGACACGGAGACATATGATGTGGTGAGCCATCTATTTCCAGAGCTAGTCTGTCTGGTGCCTCACAGGCGCTTTGTTATCAAATTAAAATCCTGCTGCTGTTCATGTGCAGGTTGTAAGATAGTTCCTTTCTAGGCACACAGATGTGGAATGTGTTGCCCTGAGCTGTTGTTTATTTCCTGTGTTAAGCCATCAGCATGTTATTTCTTGGTATTATAATCTTTTTTTGTTTGTCTCCTTTGTCTTCCTTTAGATCGCACTGGGAAGCACTCCACCATGCCCGACTCACCTGCGGACGTCAAGACACAGTCCAGGTTGACCCCCCCTACCATGCCGCCCCCTCCCAGCACGCAAGGTGCACCCCGTAACAGCTCCTACACCCCCACCACATGTGAGTAAAGCCAGGTTTATAGGTACTGCATTAACTCTACAAAGACATAATAACAGTAACTTTGGTTGTTAATAATGACAGCAATATAAAGAAGGTTGCAGAGAGGCTTAGTAATCGTCCCCTTGTCTCTAACACACATCGAGCAAAGTCGTTCCAGTTGCAAATCTTCTTCTCGCTTCTACTCTACAAAGTGAATGACAGAATGTAAACACAATTACTTCCCTTATTAATGATTGCACAGCAGTAGTCTCCTATTAAGTCAGTGCTTTAGACAGCAGAAGTATAATTCCACCTGAAGACACCCATGAAAAACAAACACAGCAACACTCTAAAACAGAGCAGATATGCACTTACACAAGAAGACAATATGCATAGGTGAAGAAAAACCTAAAAACCTTAACAAGTTGCACTGAGCCTTTCCAAATAGCAGTCATTCCAAACAACTCACCCAACAAGTTCATTAACGCCCACACTTAAAAACCGTTGGAGCATTGCCATAGTGTGCACATAGCCTGTGACAAGCAAATTACACCCTAGTATTCACTTAGAAGCGCATACTTAACCACTTGCATGAAGAGCACTAGAATCAAAGAATCGAAGGCCCTACGGTTCAAAGTGCTCAGAGCACTCAGAGTCTGCGGTAGTGGTGCTGGTTCTCTGCAACAGGGGCATTATTTTGTTCTCTTTCAATCACTTATACTCTCCCTTCCTTCATCTCTGGTATTTACTTTCTCCTTCTCTCTTTGTATCTGTCTGTCTCTCTGTGTCTGTTGCAAACGCTCACACTCCACAATTAACATCAGGGCTTCCGTGCGATGAGGGAGGAAAGGCCCAGCTCTCTCATTACGCATGCCGAAGGTTTTAACAAAGCAGTATGCTTTGATTTCCACCCAACGTAATTGTTACCAGATGCAGTTTGAGTATCTCGTCTCTCTCCTCTCTTTACAGTGGCGGCTTTGGACGACGGCCAGAGGGGGAGTGAGTGGATCACTAGTCAAAACCTAATCTCATTAGAGAGAAAGCTTTATGCCGCCTTGTATCTCTTTGTACACCAACTCCCCCAACTCCCCCAACAGACACATAGACGCACACACACGCACTGCTCCCATGCTCTGGCGCGACGGGGGGTCACGCTGTCCCCGCTTGTTTAGACTGCATGGAAGGAGGGAAAAGGAGAAGGAGGTGCAGGGAGGCATCATGTCACAGAAATATGTTTTTTATGAGAGGATGCCACAAAGGATCAAACGATCCTCGATGATTAGAAACAAATGTTGAAGATTGAAATTGTTTTCAGGGAAATGTAAATCAATTCAAATCAGTGGTTTGGTCTCAGTGACACTGATGTATGTTATTTCCTTTGCTGGCGTTTGTTAAAGGGACAGTCAGTGATTTTAGGTTATTTTTGGTGATTTATACATAGCACGAGCAAATGCATTGTTTATATGGAATTTTTAAATATTTCTCATTTTTCTCTCCTTTCTCTGAAGACTATTCTTTGTCTTTGTCTCACGCAGTAACCAATGGCAGCAGCCACTCTCCTACAGCGCTCAACGGCGCTCCATCTCCTCCAAATGGCTACAGCAATGGTCCTAGCTCCTCCTCCTCCTCCTCGCTGGCCAACCAGCAGCTGCCGCCGGCCTGCGGCGCCCGCCAGCTCAGCAAGCTCAAGCGCTTCCTCACAACTCTACAGCAGTTTGGCAACGACATCTCACCTGAAATCGGCGAGCGGGTCCGCACATTAGTGCTAGGACTGGTGGTGAGTGGCTACTGTTTATGTGAGCTTCAGTTGACACCGGGTCTTGAGTTAGAAGTTATAAGTGAATTCATTAAGGCCAATTGAGAGTAATTCTTAACATTTGTTCAGCATGACACAAGTACCAGCTGAAAGGAGTTTACTAAGTCAAAAAGTTTAACTAGTGTCAGGTGAATTGTCAGTCAAAGAGATGAATACTTCAAATACTTTAAAATACTTATCGCTGATTATGAAAACCTCAGGGGTGTTTTTTATTTTCTTATGTCAGAAACTTCACCCATCTGGTCCTTCAGGCATAAGTGCAAAATAAACACTTACAGATGTCCAGGACTGACATCCATCAGTACTTTGCAGCACATTACTCACCGTAACATATTGCTTTACAGAACAATGGCAGCATGTTGTCCTCTGGGACAAAAAAATAACATCAAACCAGGACACCACAGTCCTTATGCACATTATCCATTTTGGATTTAATTGCATTACATTTATTTGAATTCAAAATCAACATGCAACAACAAACCAGAAGCACATGGCGATAGTGATTAGACTTCCTATTTTAACATCACACTTACTTAGGTTGCGCAGGTGTCTGACAACCATGATTCATCCAGTTTCAATATTAAAACCTTATTTATTTATTTAGCTAATAAACAGATGTAATTGCAAAAAAGGATGATTGTAGCTTTACGAGGAAGCACTAATTAAAGCATTACTGATAATCACACTTCTAACGCATGATGATCCAGTGCATAAAGTGAATAAAAACAGCATGTGATATTCAAAACTTCTATTAGAATTTGTCTGAATTAAGCTAATAATACAGAATATAAATAACATGCATGCAAAGAACACAAGTGGAAGTGTGTTCTTCACCAGAGATTTCTGCATTGGTAATACGGCAAAATACAAATCAAGTCTGCAAAGATCGAAATACATTCATCCAACATTTAATAAGACAGATGTGTTGTGTATCTCCGGCTTATCTGACACGGTTATATGAAGGCTATATAAAATACATGCGCAAATCTAAAGATTTACCGCATTTGATCTGATAAAATCTGAGCATAACGAGCAAGGGAATACAGAAATAGTGATTGAACGTTGTGCAGAAAGGAGGAGGCGGAGGAGATGGAGGGAGGAATTTTTTTAATTAGCCACACAGAGCATAGCCTCCTTTTGGCTTCACTATGTTTATTTTTCTCACCGTCTGCTTATGCACATGCCTCTCCTGTGTCATTTTGGCTTGCGTACCCCTCCCCTTACTCTCTCTCTCTCTCTCTCACCGTCTTCCTCTCTTACTCACTGTCTCTCTGTCCCTCCCCCTGCCTTATTGAAAAGAGTGACACCGTTAATTAGCTAGTTGTGTGCTGGGGAGAGGGAGAGAGGGAGACTCAGGAGGTTTCACTAGCTGTCAAGAACAGCCCCTCCGCAATCTGGGCGAACAGATGTAAGGCTGAATGTAACAAAATTCAGGTCTGGGAAATAACGGCGAGAGTGTGGGGAGGAAAAATAATATCTGCTGCTTTTTTTATCTTCTCCGTCTCGCTTGATTTTTTTTTTCCTTGTTTGTATTTTTGCTCGTTATAGAGCAGATTCTTCTCCCAAGTGCATGCATACCTCTTTCTCCCCCTTTCTTCACTATTTCTTTCTGCTCTGCGTCTTGGGAGCAGTTCATGTTGAAAATTAAAAATAGTGTCACCGCTGTCTTGTCAGCCATTAATGTGAGTTACAGACAACTAAAGAAGCAGAGACAGAAGCAAGACTTTGTTTGGGTGTGGAGGGCTGACAAACTGCTGCAATGATCTTCTTTGCAACCATACAGAAAACACACATATGCCCTCTTACTCTAAACATACTACCCCCTCCCTGTGCACATTTGCCTGGTCCATGTTGCTGCTCTCATGTATTTTGATCATATTCCTCTAATCTGGTCTGTGAAAAGCGACAGTACAGGTGTGGAGCATTATGGCACAAGTGTGATAGGCTCATGTACTGTGTTGTTAAGGACGTGGGTGCTATGCATGTACATGTGTACTACATAAGACGTGTGCAAACATCCAAATGAATGTCCAAGTGATGGAAACAAAGAAAAAGCAATTAAGAAGAAAAAAACTGCATTTTACTTTATTGGACAGAAATTACACAGTTGTCTTCAATATGTTCAGCCTTTATTCATAATAGCAAACAGGTAGAACTGAGCAAATGTGAAAGTAACGTGAAAGGTGTATGATTAAGTCCACTAACACTAATATTAAGCCCATTTTCAAAGAGAAAAAACAATTAAGCACATTTGTCCCTTATGCAGCAAATTTTCTGATGATGTGACTCCTGCATGTGTATTTGTTTTGTTAATTGAAGGAGATGTGCGTTTTTGTTTTCTGTGGCTCTTTTCACTGCAGTTTGCCCCCATATGCTTCCTATTACAAAACCCGAAACATTCACTCCAGGCCAGGATCTAGCTTAGCTTCCAATAAGTAATATTATCACTTAATGTCTTCCATATGGATTCATGTGTTTTCTCTCCGTCTCTCTCTCTCTCCCTCCAGAATTCCACGCTAACCATCGAAGAATTTCATTCCAAGCTCCAAGAAGCCACCAACTTCCCTCTGCGACCTTTCGTCATACCCTTTCTGAAGGTAGATATTTAAACATACGTTTACTACAGAAGGTTTGGCTGCCTGTCTGCCTGATCAGCCAAATCTGGTAAACATAAAGCCGGCCCAGATCCAGATGTGCATACTTATGTTCATGATTTTTCTCCCTATTTTTGGAGTCTCTCTCCTCTTTGCATCTTTATCTGTCTCTCTCATATCTATCCATGACCTGTCTTATTCTTCCTTCTCAGTCTGCAATTTCACAAGATACTGTTGCTCTCATTCTGTCATCTTTTTCTTTCTCTTTGCTCAATCTGTCTCTCCTCCAAATTAAACAACGCATAAGTCATTTCAATACTGAGACTGATCTCATTCTTTTAGGTTCACTCTGTTTAACCCAAAGCTAGCAACTTTGTTCAGAACATAATTATTCTGTACAATATTTGAACTGGAAAGAAGTTGTTTTTACGTTATGTTTTTTTTCTTTTTTAAGAAACTTGCTCAATGTGTACTGCAACAGAGCGCAATGAGTGTGTTTTTGATCACACTTTCATGTGCTCACTTCCAGCCTCCTCCACCTCTTTCTCTCAGGCTTGTTTTGTCATCAATTCTTTGTCCCACTAAGCCACATTTCAGCCATTATGGTATATAACCAGAGGAAGGAGCAGTGTTCTTAACCATCAGGCTGTACCCTTGCTTTAGCCCATTTGACACTGGTTGCCTTGTTTCAGTCACAACAGTCCACCTCACATCTCTTTATTCCAGTCTGGGAGATAAAAATAAAGAGGGATGGTGGTTTTTTGTTTGTATCTAAAGGTGAAATAGTCGTCATTTATGTGCATTAGGGCTGTTTGTGTCAAAGAGTTGCATATTCTGAATGTCTGCAGGATTTGAGGAGCTAAAAAGCGGTCTGGAGGTGAGACTGGAGGTATGATTTGTTTTGGTAGTCAAACAGGTCAGGGGTGTATAGTGAGGGATGTACTGTGCAGCAGCAGTTCAGATCATGTTATCGGGTCTAGGTGAAGTTGAAATCAATATCAGTGTGGTACTGAGAGATGGAGAGCAGGGTTGGGCATAACATTTACCACAGACATCATTTGTTTCTATTACACACCTCTGATAAGGCTTTTTTTATCACTTCTTTTTACTCATCCCCCCCCCATCCTTCTTGATGTCTCTGTCTACTTCTTTATCTATTCTCTATCCCTCCCTCCCCTGCTCTCTATCAGTCTGTGTCTGAGTGACAGACATGAGGTAAATGTTATTTGTGAAAACAAGACAGTTGGTTCTCCCTGAGCAATATCATCTCACTTTACTGTGTCTGTGCACGTGCATTTGCAGATGTGTACATGCCTGAACTGACATTCACAAGCCTGTATCATCCACTGGGGTCCTGCGTGGATGTGGGCACTAGAACTTGGTCCTACTAGAATTGTCGTTAGTGGCTGTTAACAACACAAACAGGGATCTCCTTCCTTACACCGCTCACTTATTTTGGACTTTTCTTTATCTTTTTCTTCTTTGACTAACCTTCTCATTTGTTCTCCCTCCATATCTTTATCCCTTTCCTGTCTCTGTTTACTGTTCCCCATCTATCCAACCCCCAGTCCCTCCTTCCCCTCTCCTCTCCTTGCCAGATGGTTAGTGTATCACTGGGATGGCTGCGGAATCAAAGATGCAATTTTTTTTTTTCCTCCATCGCTCCTTCTCTGCCTCTCTCTCTCCCCAGTCTAATTTTAGTGTCTTCCCACTGCGGGGCCTTTAATGCCAGATACCATATGGTAGCGGAGAGCTGCTGGAGGTGTAGGGGAGCTTTTATAGGTGCGTCGAAGCACAGCTGCAACAATGCGCATCAGGGCTCAGAGTTTTTCATTACGCTAATGTTAGACCGAGCCGACCCCTCCAACCCCCCCACCCCCACCCAAACCCACTCAACTCCTTTCCCCTTCTCTTAATACTAAACCGCAAATTGGTTGGGAGTCTTTACTGGAAGGAGGCAATCATAAACCACACAGCGCCAGTGACGTGATGTGTTGGCGGGACGCCCGCCACACAAGACAACAGGCTTACAAAGTAACAGTGTTTCTCTGTTTTCAAAAGTTGTGCTTTTTTTAAGTTTGCTCTCTTCTTAGCTGTCAAGTGTTTTGTTTTTCTTGTGTCATGCTGAAATGAGAGGAGTGCTGTGAGACGAGGGAATAAACACATTTAGCTAAAAACAGAGAGAGAGAGAGTCGTGACAGGAAATAATTGAAATAGGACAATATAGACGTGCAGGAACTAAGTCACCTAGATTCTCCTCCAACTGCAAATTACACAGAAACAGAAAGTTGATGAAGTGCAGCATATCCTGAACGTGGCATATCCCGAATTGTTTTTTGGCACCGTTTGACAAAATGACAGATCCAGTATTTTTACAATAAATCATCCTGGGCGGATTTTTAGCTGTGGCTGCTTGCTGAACACTACTTGAAATTTTCCTTTTATGCAAGTGCAGACGTTGGTTACCCTAACTGCACAGAAGCAAAGCGACATACTTTATCATATGAAAAATGAGTCTCTTCAGCAGCCCTGCATTTTTGACTCAGTCTTTTTGTTAATGCATCCCACATCTCTGGCAATTAGGATGACCTCTAATTAATGAAAGATGAGTTCACCGGGGTCAAAGCAATCTATTTTATGCTCTTTTTTCAGAGGGTAATTACGATCATAAACTATTAACGGACCATTAACTCGGGCAGGTAAAGCGAAGGCCAGCGCTTGGCATTTCTTTTACAGCCAATTACTGGAGAGGGATTTTCTTATGATTATGAAACATAAATACGGCTAAACAAATCAGGGTTGTGTTTTGCGAGTATTATTTCTGTACGCAGTTGGCAAGGACAAGATCAAATTGTAAAAGAGTCAGCTATTAAGGGACTGGAGGAAAGAAAGAGTGAATAAAAGCTTATAGATTATAAAAGTGGAAAAATGAGGAAAGGAACAAAACAGAGAGGAAGATTAGTTTTTGAGGACAAAACAAAGATTAACAGACGTAAAACTTTCAAAGATGGCCCCTCCAAAGGCTCTTGTGATGTTCCTCGCCAAAATAGCCCCCACTCTCATTCTGAACCTGCCTGACGCAACACTTTCATCTTCTTGCTTCAAAATGCACCCCATCAGATGTCTTTGAAGTCAATGCGCACATACCTGCATGACCCTGTAACTCCACACAAGAAAGCAGACCCCCTTGTTATGCTGCTGTTTCTTTAAAAAAATGAGTATGCCATAGAGAAACTCTGGGTGTTAATGTACTCTGGGTCACAGGAAGTGGTGGTTGTTCAGTGGTAATGAGCAAACAGGGGTTAGATGACGTGGAAGAAATGGATCTCTTGTTACCTCAAAATTGTATTTTTGGAATGAAAAGACTGGTAGAAAGCATTGACTATTACATTTACTACTTGAAGTTTGGGGCTTTCTGTGAGATAAGTGTCAGTTACATGTTGTAGAGCTTTACATTTTGTTTCAGATCAAAGAGATGCAGTAGTATGGTTGGATTGATCTTTGTTGTAGTAAATCATCAACAACATAATATATTTTGCACAAGGCCATGAGTAGAACTTTAATATTCCAAATGCATATTTTCTTTTTTGACAGCTTAAGTTGACTGTGATTACCCTTAAAGCAATGCGGATCCAAATCTTGATTATTATGTTTTTACTACAAGAAGCATCTGTTTAAGATCTTGTAGTATAAAAACTCAGAATCTGACAGATTATTGTCAGTTTCCAAAATTAGCCAAAAAGGAAACAGAAAGCCTCTTACAAACACGGGTGAGTGACTTTTTTACACTTGTTGAAAGGTAAAAAGGCAGTTGTGATATTTATATTCTTGTCAGTGTTGTCTAAAACATTCTATGCAGTTGTTTCCTCTGTTAATACAGTGCTGTTTCCTTCTGTAGGCAAATCTGCCGCTCCTTCAGAGGGAGCTGCTGCACTGTGCCAGGCTAGCCAAGCAGAACCCAGCTCAGTACCTGGCCCAGCATGAGCAGCTGCTTCTGGACACCAGCACCACCTCCCCAGTGGACTCCTCTGAGCTCCTGCTGGACGTCAACGAGAACGGCAAGAGAAGGACGCCAGACAGGTGAGTGAATTTAGTCAGATCATTATTTTACCGGTATTGGACTTATTTGGGTTATTATCATCATCATCATCATCATCATCCTCATCATCATCACATAAATTCACATCGATCAAGATGCAGGGTTTAGAGATTTACTAGCTCCAGACATTGAAGCAGCTGAGGCTTTTTTACTCCTCTATTATTTGATCTCATGCATAAATCCCTTTGAGTCTGCCTGCATCCCCTTGAAACTATACATGAATCTGAGCCAATGCAAGGCAATAGCATGATGTGTTAATGTATGTATGGGAAGTGTCTGTCAGTGTGCCACCGGGCCTCATGACGTGCTCCGTTGGACATCTCAGCTCCCGGCTCCGGCTCTTAATGGGCCAGAACTGAGGAGAGGAAGAGATGAGAAAAGTAGACCTGGCTACAACCAGACACACGCAAACACACACACA